CTATCTTTCTGAGAAAGAACTGCCCCCAGACCATATCCTAAAGCATCTGTTGCAACAAATGTATCCAGGTCTGGATCAAAGAGAGCTAAGCAGTACTGGACTGGATAAATGCCTTCACTTTCTCAAAACTAGCTTGAGCTTCTGGAGACCACACAAACGTAGCATCCTCTCTGATCAATCTCCTCATCGGTTCAACTTGAGTGGAAAAGGGTGGAACGAACTTGGAGTAATACGATGCCAAGGAATGATCTTAGGGTTGCAGCATCGGTAGGTGGTGGAACATCTGTGATAGCCTTCACATGCGACTGGTCTGGTTCTACACCTGATCAGGCGGTCGGGTAGCCTAGTGGTTAAAGCGTTCGCTCGTCACGCCGAAGACCCGACATGGGTACAATGTGTGAAGCCCATTTCTGGTGTCCCCCGCTGTGATATTGCTGGAATATTGCTAAAAGCGGCGTAAAACCATACTCACTCACTCTACACCTGATCCCAACTTGGATTCTGGACTTTGGAATTCACACTTGTCCTGGAGACATTCAAGAACTTTGACAAGATGTTCATCATGCTCTTTCTCAGACTTGCCATGAATAATCTTATCATCCATCTGACATTCAACACCTTTCAGTTCCTTGAGAATAATCGACATCATTTTCTGGAATGCTGATGGTGCAGATGCAAGGCCAAAGCATACTCATTTGAAGCGATAAAGTCCATCATGGGTGATGCATGTTGTCAAATCTCAAGTTTCTTCTGCCAGTTCCACTTGATGGTAAGCAGATTTGATATCCAACTTTGAGAATACTGTTGAACCATGCATCTTTTGAAACACCTCTTCTGTGTGAGCGAGTGGGAATTTGTCCACAACAATAGCCTCATTTGGCTTTTTCAAGTCAACACATACTCTTGGCTCTCCCGATTTCTTCCATGCAACAACAACTTGAGAAACCCATTCCGAAGCATCAACTTTTTCAATAATTCCTTCTTCTTCCATACAAGATAATTCTCTGGATAATTTATCTCTCACTGCAAGCGGCAAGAGGCGTAACTTCTGTTGTACTTGTTTACAATCGGCCTTCATTTTCACTTTGTGTACGAATCCCTTGGCCAGAACTCTACCTTCAAATAGTGACTTGTACTCTTGAATAAGGTCAGTACCCTGCTTATTGCCCAGGACAACAGAATCCACTTCATTGCATTTCAGCTATCTGCCAACAATAGAAAGGTCAAGAAAATGTATCAGGTCAAGCCCTGGAATGCACCTTCCTTTTGGCACAATGTAAAAAGTCCCTTTGATATGACTGTCTTTGTACTCAACCGTAACTCTGAAGCAGCCTTTCACATCAATGGGTTTGTGGGAATAGTCAGTCAGCTTGATCTTTGATGTCTGTAGAGCCTCTTTAAGGAATTGCTTAGAATATATCTCTTCTGACAGAATAGATACCGCTGAGCCGTATCTATGAGTAGCTTGACTGGCACACCACTGATTGCGACATTTGCAAAGATTCCTTTTGTGACACTGTTCACTGTTAGAACCTGAACTTCTTCTAGTTCATAACATTCTTCACCTTCTACAACATTGACTGAAGAATATGGAAAGTTTCCAGCTTTCTTGCAAACTTTAGAAAAGCGTCCGATTTTACCACAACTCTTGCACTTTTCTTTCCTTGCAGGACATTTGGAATCATGAGCCAAATGTTTAGTTGAACCACATTATAAACAGCCCTGCTGGCATGATGTCTCTTTATTGTTACCATGGTGACCTTGAGCCTTTTGTACCACACCTTTTGGTGACTTGCCCTGTTTATCTACAGGCCCGAATCCATGTTTCTTGACGTATCTGACAGAAACATCCCTTGGTTGACTCAACTTACTGGTTCCCTGAAGAGCGCCCTCAACAACACGAGAAATCTCTACAGTGTGAGATCATTAACAACCTTTCTCTGATTTTTGTAAATTTGTTTTCTCGATCAGCTGATCCCTGTTAAAGTGTCTAGATGAAATCAAGCAAAATACATTAGGTGTGAAAACAAACTCTGTGCTCGAAAAACTGTACTTGTTTGAAATGTAAACAAAGCAAAATTCAGATTTTAGACTGTAGCATTTTCTCCTATTTTGAACTATCCTTTCGTCTGTTCGTTGAAAACATTGGCTCAACAATTTCAAAATGTGCATGGAGAAAGAATCGTAGAAGAATTAGCGAATTAAGAGTAGATACATTGCAATGATTTGATATTTTCAACAGAAGTTGTCCTCTGTGACGCCACGACTGAAGCAAAATCATGCACGACAACAACGGTATTTATCAGAATTTCTGACTATTTCCGTTGGTTTCAATGAAATATATAACAACAAATAACAGTACACAGATTGTCAGAATGTTTTTTTGATTACTTACATGTCACATTTATGTCTATACTATCCCTGGATCAACAAAATTCCCCTTGTAAAATCCTGCGTACTGTTGACAGCGCCATTTTGTAAAAGTCAGTCACCGGTAGTGATGTCATATGTCAACAATGTTGTACATATTTGGTGATTTCTTTGAGGTGAAGGTCTTCGAATGAAAGCTCACATGATCATTGTATCCTGCTATTTACAGTTTCAATTATGATGTAGATTTTGCATATCTTTTATACATATTTTATCAAACAATTAATTTCACTTTGGATTATTTGTCAATGTTCCATGTGAAGTTCATAGTTTGGTATATGATATTTCTATCCTTTAGACAAGTGTTAGAAGATGAAATGTAAATGTAACTGCAACATGTACGTATTTCTGGGGAGTGTAATAATCAATATTGTAAGTTGATATAAACAATGTCCATGAAGAGCCGTTTCATTTTATTTTATAACTAACAGTGAATATATTTTTTAACAAAATGGATAATATTTTTTGTTAAAAAATATGCACACATTTTAAGAAGAATTGTCTTGGTCTTGGAATTATTTTTTATGTCATTTGATATACAGAACAGTGATATCAAACAATTTGCTAGGAGCGCGTTAGTCACAAATGATTTACAAATTATTCCTCTCGTTTTGCATTATATAATCAAAGGGTTCATCCTATTTTAAATATTGTTTACTTTATTTCTCCAAGAATTGTAAAAAGTATAAAAATATAACCCGTGCCATGTACCCCGTTGGTGGAACCTTATACGATCATCCTAATAATTCTATACCAATTGAGCTTTCTTCACCTCTTTTATTGTATAATTCTGAGACAGGATGAAGAGAAATAATCACATAATAATAAACAAATACATGTCCAATACTGAATATAATTTTGTTTGCTTAAATATTCTTTTGAATATATGATTACGCAAAATTGATACCAAACAGGTGCTTGTCTTGTCTAATTAAGATGCATGGTATACTAACTTATTGTTTATATATTCAAGACATTATTGACATGGTAAAAGCAGTCATTTTATGTTGTGTTGAAAAAGCGTCATATTCCGGTTTACACATCAACATTTTCCATACCATGAACAAAAATTAGGGGAGATTTATATTAATCAAAATGCCAGTGTCGTCTTTCTTCAATGTTGTCAAAGGCACACAAAAAACAGCCATGACGTCAAATAGAATGGTGTCATTCTTTTAGAAATTCATTACATTTGATGATAAGGCTAGTGCTCCATTAATAATGGTGCAACATTCGTCAAATTACATTTACACAATCAGGAGAATGTTGGAATCTAAGGAGTAATTAATAGGTTAGATAGGGCCATCCATTTCGCTATTACTTCTTTTTTTATGAAGTATGATTTCACCATTTCTTGTGGGTTTTTTTATACCTTAATGTATACAGTTTCAATATCAATATTTGTGTTGGAATAGTTTAATTCCTCATGATTAAAACACAACCCAAATATATTGTCCTTACTCACAGCTAATTCTCACCAAGTGACCTGAGTTGCAATAAACTAGTGCTAAGCATAGCGGAGTTATGCCCCCTTTTCTTTGTATGTGTAACCTCTTAGTCACCTTTTGAAAATCAGTTTTCGTCATTTACTGCAGGCTATCTTTTGCATTGAATTTGAAGAATATTTATGTCGTTCTGATATTAGGCAGTATTTTGTTCACTCACAGTCACCGTAAAGCTGAAAAATAAAACAAATTGCTGCACAGTATTTTATTGGTGTACGATGAAAAGCAAAAAGATTTCCTATTTTTAAACACAGAATAATTTCTTGGACAACATTTACCAGTGTCTTTTTTCTACATCTCAGCGTAATCAGTGCCACGTGAGTGCAATTCTCGCACAAGCTTCACTTTCCGATCTCAGGAAAATGTGAGTCAGAATGAAAACTCGGCATCCAGCTGGTTAAGTAAATCTGAGGCTTATCCTAAGAGGCTGCTATGGGGTTGGGATGGGGGCGTGGGGTGTACCAAAAATTCAAGGTGATTTGTCCCTTGAATACTTGTCTGGTGGGCAGATCATTGACGAATGTCTGCAATCCTAAATCTAGATGATGAAAGGTTGTCAGTCCCGGATGATACACTGTACAAGCAGCCCTAGATATTGCATCATTTGAGACATTAGTGCCATATACATATATACAAATATATGTAAATATCACCAACAAGATAGCAGAAGTGATGTCATCAATGGAAAGTGACAACCTCTTTGTAAGCGGGCCCCCCATCTGGATTAGCCAATGTACTACCTTTATTACATCAGGAATCTGCATCTAGTTGATAAAGGTTATTGGATGAAAGAAGTGACGTTTTCGCACCTAGCACATTCGCAGTTGCATTAGTGAAGATGATAGGGTTTTCCGAAGAACTAATAGATGTGTTTGGCAGTGAAGAGGTCGTTTGTTAAAAAATATTTTTGATTTTATAGTACAATGGTAATTATTGTTTGATTTCTAGCGTGATATGGCTTGAATATTGCAAAAACCATACTCACTGTCACACACTGTTTTTGTATGTGGAAAATTGATATTGAAGTTGAAATAAATGCACTAACTGCTGTACCTTCTCTCTCAGGTTGATGCTATTTTGAATATAGTCAACTGTCTGGTCCAAGATCAGCCTGATCAACCAGAAGAGCCAGATGACCCTGAAGACTTTGCTGAAGAACAAGGCCTTATGGGCAGGTTTATTCATTTGCTGGACTCAGAAGATCCAAATCAGCAATTTTTGGTACGTTTTAGAAACCTCTATGTAGGAGTGACTCTGTGATGAAAACCACAACAAAATTGACTGGCGATAAGTTATTATTAAGTAAATGTTACCAAGAAATGGCCAGATGTTGTTGGTGAAGGTGGCCATAAATGTTACTCTTTAGAGAAATCAGGCAGTATTTTACCATTAAATACATTTTCACCAAGCAGCCCCACTTGTTCAGATTTGAACACTGCCACTGATGCAATTGGTTTACTCATGTAGAGACTTCATACTTGATGTATATCGAATCTACCCATACTTGATGTACAGTGTTCCCTCGTTATTGCGCCCTTCAATATAGCGCTAACTCGGTTATAGCGCGAGGTAAAGCATGGCAGTTATTAATACTCGATCAATTCTTTTTTTACACTATGAATCATAAATAACTCCTGAAACGTGCAATGTAGATCGTGTTAGGTAGGCAGAGCATGTATACTGTTTTGTTGGTCATCTACCTCTAAAAGGCTGATCATCTGTAACGCTCATCAATTATTTGGACCCTGAAGGTAGCTTTTTAGCGAGGGATCACTGTATATCGAATATACCCATACTTGATGTATATCGAATATACCCATACTTGATGTATATCTAATATACCCATACTTGATGTATATCTAATATACCCATACTTGATGTATATCGAATATACCCATTCTTGATGTATATCGAATATTCCCATACTTGATGTATATCTAATATACCCATACTTGATGTATATCGAATATACCCATACTTGATGTATATCTGATATACCCATACTTGATGTATATCTGATATACCCATACTTGATGTATATCTAATATACCCATACTTGATGTATATCGAATATACCCATACTTGATGTATATCGAATATACCCATACTTGATGTATATTGAATATACCCATACTTGATGTATATCGAATATACCCATACTTGATGTATATCTGATATACCCATACTTAAGGTATATCTGATCTACCCATACTTGATGAATATCTGATATACCTATTTTTAATGTACATCTAATATATCCATACTTGATGTATATCTGATATACCCATACTTGACGAATATCTAATATAACCATACTTGATGTATATCTAATATACCCATTCTTGATGTATATCTGATATACCCATACTTGATGTATATCGAATATACCCATACTTGATGTATATCGAATATACCCATACTTGATGTATATCTGATATACCTGTACTTGATGTATATCTAATATACCCATTCTTGATGTATATCTAATATACCCATACTTGATGTATATCAAATATACCCATTCTTGATGTATATCGAATATTCCCATACTTGATGTATATCTAATATACCCATACTTGATGTATATCGAATATACCCATACTTGATGTATATCTGATATACCCATACTTGATGTATATCTGATATACCCATACTTGATGTATATCTAATATACCCATACTTGATGTATATCGAATATACCCATACTTGATGTATATCGAATATACCCATACTTGATGTATATTGAATATACCCATACTTGATGTATATCGAATATACCCATACTTGATGTATATCTGATATACCCATACTTAAGGTATATCTGATCTACCCATACTTGATGAATATCTGATATACCTATTTTTAATGTACATCTAATATATCCATACTTGATGTATATCTGATATACCCATACTTGACGTATATCTAATATAACCATACTTGATGTATATCTAATATACCCATTCTTGATGTATATCTGATATACCCATACTTGATGTATATCGAATATACCCATACTTGATGTATATTGAATATACCCATACTTGATGTATATCTGATATACCCGTACTTGATGTATATCTAATATACCCATTCTTGATGTATATCTAATATACCCATACTTGATGTATATCGAATATACCCATTCTTGATGTATATCGAATATACCCATACTTGATGTATATCGAATATACCCATACTTGATGTATATTGAATATACCCATACTTGATGTATATCTAATATACCCATACTTGATGTATATCTGATATACCCATACTTGAGGTATATCTGATCTACCCGTACTTGATGTATATCTGATATACCTATTTTTGATGTACATCTAATATATCCATACTTGATGTATATCTGATATACCCATACTTGACGTATATCTAATATACCCATACTTGATGTATATCTAATATACCCATTCTTGATGTATATCTAATATACCCATACTTGATGTATATCTGATATACCCATACTTGATGTACCGTATTCGACGTAATAAGCGCCCAGGGCGCTCTCAAAATTAGAAAAGGGGGGCGCTTATTAGAATGAAATTTTGGTTAAAAAAAAGAATTGAAAGATCACAAAATTCATGGTTTGGCGAACGCAGAAAACGACCTGTGTCCGTATTTTATAAATACATGTCTCGTACAAATAATACCATGTGCATTCTTGTACGTATTAACTTAAAAATGAGCATATTTGTGATAACGCAGCGCCACATTTTACGATTCTTAAAATAAATCATCGGCGCCATTGTTCGGAAGTACAGGAAGTACAGGAAGTACCGGTAATCAGCAGGTAAATTTGAAAAATATAATATAAACATGCGCTTTGTGTTTGTGATTTTCAAAAACAGATGTTATTGTGTGTTTGATTATGAATATCCTTTCACATGTTATTTGAAAATTAAAAGCTGTCTGACACCGCGAATGCACAATTTGACCGACTGTGTCAGCGACACCTCACCTGTGCCTTCTCCGCTTGAATCACCTGGTCACATTTGGAAACAAGACACAAATGTGTATTTCTTTCTTTTGTACATTAGTCGTTCACTTTCATTATCAATCAGGGGAAGATAGACATTTCATCTTTATCAGAACGGAACAGACATTTAAGTTGGTACTCGATAATCTCTGCAGAGACCTCTTCACTGATTGGCTTAAAGTGAAAATTCCCACGCCTGTCTATCCAATCAGCAAACACCTCAAAACTGAGGGCATTGAATACATTAACAGCTGATTGACAAGCCGAGATGTTTGATAAACAAAAAACAACAACACTGAACTCAGAAAACTGTATAACTTTATGAAACAACAATGATGCTGCTTTCAACTGCACACACAGAAGAAATACTGCCTTATCTTTGTTGTTTTACGCCGCACTCAGCAATGTTCCAGCAATATGACGGCGGTCTGTAAATAATCGAGTCTGGACCAGACAATCCAATGACATTCACGAGCATCGATCTACGCTACTGGGATATGATGACATGCATCTACCAAGTCAGCCATCCTGACAACACGATCCGGTTAGTCGCCTCCTACGACAAGCATATATATTTGGCTTTTACGACAAGCATTAAACATGATAAATGAGAAAACTTCTGAAACTGGAAATAACGAACACAGTCATTCTGGGATTATGAATTAATGTCCCATCAATCTGTCACTTGAATTCTTTTTTTAACTGCTCAAGGATAGAGGTTTCAGTGACATGGGGAATCTGGAGACTCGTACTCGTCTCCGCTTTCGACATCTTCGTGCGCATCCTCAGGGTCACTCCATTCATTTACGGCGTCCAACTCCATGCGTAGATTATCCTGCTTTTGTTGATTGGCTTCAAGCTCCCCAGATGTCGGCTCATCAAATCCATCAAATGGGTCATCGGAGTCTGAGTCGTCTGCGAAGAGAATGGCATCTTCGGCCCCATCCAAGGAGTTGCTGATTCCACATTTAAGAAATGATTTCCGGACTGTGTCTGGAGACACAGAACTCCACGCCTGCTTGATCCATTTAAGGACCAAGGTTTTTTCTGGGGGCTTCCTGTTGTTTCCCTTCGTCAAAACAGGCTTGGCATTGAAGAGCCAGTCGTCGTACTGGTCTCTGTAGGCATCTTTGAATGGCTTGTTCCACGACACATCGCACGGTTGGATGCGGCTTGTGCACCCACCGGGGATTATAGCAAAATCGCTGTTGTAATCACGTGACAAGGATTTCTTTATGGCGGGGGTACGATGTGCTGAAAAAGAATCCCAGACAAGAAGCCTACGAGTTTGAGCATTTTGTCGCCAAATACGGTGCAACCAAAATTGCATTACAGCCTCGTTGGCCCAAGCTTTGGGTGTCATCATGACGACTACGCCAACAGGGACGTCTTTGATGGGACGAACACCTTTTAACAGGACAAGTGGGGGCATTTTAGTACCATCCGCATATGCAGCCAAACAAACAGTTAGTCTAGTTTTTTCATGTCCTGTGCTTGTCATGGTAATGGTTTTAGATCCTATTTCCTCCAAAGTTGAACTGCCAGGCATATCGACCCACACCGGGGTTTCATCCATGTTTGCGATTGCAGAGAGCGGGTAAGACTGACGCCTCCTCATGTATATGATGTAGCGAAGAAATGACATCATCTTGTCACTCAGTATAGCTTCACTTTTTTTACCAACATGTGTCGCTCTACGGAAACTGATTTTATTTCTCTTCATGAAAGATCTCAACCATCCGCAACTTGCTTTAAACGATTGGTTTCCACCATCCCTGTGCAAACGTAAGGCCTCTTGCTTTAATGCTTTCCCTGTAACACGTGTGCCTTTACTGTGACGATCTCTCATCCGTGTTAGGACCTTATTTTCAATGTCAGGGAAATCTATTTTTCGCCCAGCCCCAGATCGACGTTTACGTTTGGCTTTGTCACCCACAGTTTGCAATTCTTGCTTCTGTTTTAGCCATTCTCGCACACGCTTTCTATCGACCCCAAAATGTTTTGCTGTCAATGTAATGTTAGACTTTTCAGCAAACTGTATCACTTTTAATTTGAATGAAATGTCATAAGAGCAAAGTCTCTTCCCTTTGTGTGATGACAGATCGTCATTCATGCTTGCAAAGTGACCGTTACACTTACCACGATTTTGCACCTAGTGACCCCGTAGTAAATGTGTAATGAAGCATGATTGGTCAATATAGTAATCATGTGACTAATATTTATT